CACCAGAACAAATACAATAAGCTGTAATTGTTCTGGTAACTATAGTGTCCCTTTAACCTCATTATGACATTTGACACTTATGGTATGAGTAATCATATGTTTAACAAGGTTTGTTATAGTTCAACAGAAAATAAATACATGTATATAATTAGAGGATATATTAAATGTCATTTGGTCACTGCGGCCACCTTGTCTTTTATTTTGACTTGCTTTGAACAGTTGTAATAGAGAACCTTGCTGTGGTCATGTGTGCCAAATTTCACATTATTGGAAAAAAACAGTTTCACAGAAGATGTTGTTTAAAATTTTTTGAGCGTTTCAATATGGCCGCCAAACCATGTGACTAATCAACTTCTCTTGATTATATCTGAATCTAGGCTACAACATGACCTCACACAGCAATCTGTACGTCTGCAGCACAAATGGTTCTGGAGAAGATGTTAAAATATTGTGCGAAAATAGTCGCCTAAACCAAGATGGCTGCCAGGCCATGTGACCTATGACCATTTTGTTGCAATGGATATAGCACACCATAGGTCCCTTCTAACAGTTTTTTTAAAAGTGATTTAGTTTTTATATTAAATTAAAAAGTATTATCATAATAATAATCTATGAAAAACTATATGTTAAACAGCAACTTGTTTGTTGGCCACCTAATAATAATCTTAAAGGGATACTATGAGTGCCAGGAATACAAAGCTGTATTCCTGGCACTATCGCTCCTTCTGTCTCCCCCCTCCATCATGCCCCCCTGGTAAATAAAAGGTTAAAAACCCTTTATTTACTTACCTGATCCCCGTGCCGATGTCCCTCATTCCTGGGTCAAAGCTCCTCCTCCGTCCCGCGAAGAGCTGGGTCTAATCCGCGTGCATGGCAAATGCTGCGAGCACATTACATCTTCCCATAGGAAAGCATTGAATCAATGCTTTTTCTTTGGGGAAAAATCTGACGCTGGAGGTCCTCATGCAGACCGTGAGGACGTCCAGCATCAGATACCGGACCAAAGGTGTGTTTCTAACCAGGAAGCCCTCTAGTGACTGTCTGATAGACAGCCACTAGAGGCTAAATTAGTGCTGCAATGTAAACATTTCAGTAAAAACAGCCAATATGTGCATTTAGCTGAGTTAGAATATGCTCTCAAACCATCTATTTGAGGCTCATTTTTGCAATTCGGGTCACAATTCATTACCATTCAGTGTTTAGTGAAGAAATAATTTTAGATGACTGTAAATATTTAGATAAAACCTGAAATAAGTTGAACTCATGTGAGCTAGAGCATAATGAGTGCTCTGTCTGCAATGTGATGTAACTGACTGACCCTGGCTCCTCAGACATCTTAGTATTCGTATGTTTGGGCAAAGATGGGAAAATACTGTTTTACCGCTAAAACTAATATTCTTACATTGTTAGTAGTCATACACTTGATATATTAGCTGATGCCATTTTATATCTAAGCTTTTACTGTATTTGTTAATAAATGTGAATACTTTTATCTACCATCAGTTCTTCTTCACCTTTTATATTGAGACCTAGAACGAAGGAAAAGACCCCATGCCGGGATTATATCCCATCATGTACACATGTAGAGCTGAGGGTGGGCTCTTCATTATGTGAGTGCTTGACACAAACACAGAGGATTGCCTTGTTACATTTTATCATTCACTGCCCGGCTAGAAAGGGGGACAAGGGGCACTGAGCCAGTAGTACAGAGAGATTTGTGGGCGGCTGACTCACAGCACGATACTAAATCTATTATGTAGCCATATTCTTTTATTATTAATGCACTATTATTATACAGCATTTAATAAACAGAGTGGAGTTAATGTGACAATGTCCTGGTTTGGCTCACATCGAGCTATTTATTTGCACTTGCCGCCCAGGCCACAAGTAGCCAGCCCTCCCGATCACTATTAATATAATCCTTTGTCGTGCACTCATGGATTGTTGTAAATCACTGTTTAGTTAATATAAACCATTAACTGTATTAGTTGGGATATTGTTTGTTCATATACTAGAGCACTTTAAGTATATTTATTGATGTTTATATATTTTATTCCTATTGGCAGAAGCTATAGCCCTTTAATCACAATAATATTTAAAGCAATACACTCTATTATTGTCAGTATTTATTTTATTTTGAGTTTACGTTGGATTCATAAAAGTACATTTCTGTCAGATAAATATTTTGTGTATTGCTTTCCAATTTGTTGACTGCTGTGAATTTATTCATTTTATTTTTAAAGGGCACCCTGTTTGTGAATGTTTTATGTGGAATGTAGTTTGTTGAGAAACAGTCTGAGACTTGGTATTACATTACTACACGTTTCTTAGTTTGGAGCGGCTGGGGTAGCAGAGTATTGCTTTTAGTATTAATATGTAAGAGGTGATTAGTGAAATACTATTTTACCGCGAAAAGTGAAATTCTTACAAATATTAATGTACGACCATATCGTTTTACTGTTGTGTGTATGCAACACTGAAAATTGTTTCTGAAAGAGTGAATTATGGGTAATTAAATGTGATTTCAAATGAATTGTAACTATCAGGGAAGATGGCTAAAATTGATGCATAGCTAGCTGGGAGAATGTCTGCAATTTGCCTTATTTGGCCTCAAATATGAATTTCATGGAACTGACTTTGAATTTCTGGCATTTTGCTGTTTAGTGATTGACCCAGTGGAGTTTGTTAACAAAATAGCAAATTGTAAACAACATTTAGGCCAAAATAGTGGATTTGGAACCAATCAAAATATGTTTCTCCCTGTGATAAAAGACAAAAAGACGACAAAAAGGCTGCAAATGACCTATAACCAGGTAGAACAACTCCGCTCAGAGTGAGAGAGATCTAACCTAGAACCAGGTCCACACACTGGGAGATAGCTGGAATTCTAGAACTTTAACAGCAATGGCCCAGATTCCTGGACTCTGTATACAGACATTAAGACATGAGGATTAGGGTGCACATGACACTGAACCAATGATGAAGTATTAACGCACTGGCTGTAGGTGATGGATTGAGCTGGCATATATAAAACTAAGCATGGAAATGGAATTCTCAGAAAGTAATTTGTAGGACATGCCATGAATCATATAACTAATAGGGCAGCAAGATATCAAATCTATACTGCGGCACAGCCTGAATACAGGGTCCTGAAGTTTACTATTCTATTATCTTGTTAATAAACTTGTGACTTGTTGACTTGTGTTTAGTAGTATGTGGTTAGGCTGTACAACACATTAAGACTGAAATGAGTTCTGATCACTGTGAATCTAACATATTAGGAAGAGTGATGATAAAATACTGAAGTTCACGATACCTTAAAGAGTTAAAGCGTTTAAAAGGATGAAGCAAGTAATGAGTACAAGGGCTTCCAGCTTCTACATGCCAGCAGCACAAACGTCTGGCAGATGTTTGTAATAAAGAAAACAATATTTTATTAGTAAGCTATCAGGGGGGTGGGAAACGCTCTCATAAACCCAGGGTTTGTGGGATGGATCCATGGCCCTATTAACCACTCTAGTCCAGGGTTTGTGGGATGGATCCATGGCCCTATTAACCACTCTAGTCCAGGGTTTGTGATATGGATCCATGGCCCTATTAACCACTCTAGTCCAGGGTTTGTGGGATGGATCCATGGCCCTATTAACCACTCTAGTCCAGGGTTTGTGATATGGATCCATGGCCCTATTAACCACTCTAGTCCAGGGTTTGTGGGATGGATCCATGGCCCTATTAACCACTCTAGTCCAGGGTTTGTGATATGGATCCATGGCCCTATTAACCACTCTAGTCCAGGGTTTGTGGGATGGATCCATGGCCCTATTAACCACTATTATCCAAGTCCAGGGTTTGTGGGATGGATCCATGGATATGTGGCCCATCAACCACCTTGTCCAGGATTTGTGGGATGGATCCATGGCCCTATTAACCACCCGGATCCAAGGATTCTGGGATGGATTGGTGCCCCATCAACCACCCTGTCCAGGATTTGTGGGATGGATCCATGGCCCTATCAACCACCCGGATCCAAGGATTCTGGGATGGATTGGTGCCCCATCAACCACCCTGTCCAGGATTTGTGGGATGGATCCATGGCCCTATCAACCACCCGGACCCAAGGATTCTGGGATAGATCGGTGCCCCATCAACCACCACAGTCCAGGATTTGTGAGATGGATCCATGGCCCTATCAACCACCCAGGTCCAGGGATTGTGGGATGGTCTAAGACCATAAAGTGTCTATGGCAGCAATTTCAAATTATTAATCAAACTAACACATGGATTACTCCAAAGTTACATGGTGATGGCTAATGAACAGAGGTCAAAAAACACACATTGAATTCAGTGATGCAATTTATCTTTATTTTTATTATTATTAAAACAACTCCCATCATGTCTGTTATTCACTGTCTGTAAGATGCACTCCTCCTCACAATATTGTATAAGAAATTAATTTTATTGCATAATGTAAATTTATCATCTTATAACATAGCCATTATCTTATTATTAAATGATTATAAAGCATATCATACATATTACTGTATATTATTATTGTATATTATTACTGTATATTATTATTGTATTTTATTATGGTATATTATTAGTGTATATTATTATTGTATTTTCCGTCTGAAATTCAAGGCATTTTTTTTATCTACTTCATTTCTGTTAGCATATTGAATTTTCTACACATACACTTGTTACACTTTCAGTGTATTGTTAATATAAAATTGTTATTTAGATGTATTATTGCTTTTATATAAAATGTTTTTACATGTGAAAATTCCTAACATTCTTGACCAAAGTATTTTATGCATTCAGATTTTCTAAAACGTTACAAATAAAGTTTGAACTCAAGGCAGACATTGTTTATTAGTTAAATCTTAAATTCATTAATATAATCTATTGTTTTGTTTTTTAACTTAGAGACCCTGAACTGCACAAAGACAAATGTTGCGATGTCTGGGAGCTTTGGGACAGCCCGAGACCCTGAGGGCTTTGCTTTACGCCATCTCTGAAGAGTACAGATAAACAGAATTCAGTCTGAAGCCATTATTGTGATAATTGGCCAGAGTAGGCAGCGTTCCACGCACCTGGGCTCAGTGTCCCCGGAGTCGGAATAGGGAACACGAGGGATATCTCTATTGAAACATGTAATTAAGTAGAAGGCAAACACAGAGCACAGCCACCATGCCAACCAAATCCCCACCGCGGCCCAGCTATTATTCCGAGAGGCCACAAATAAAGTTACTATTTTGCTGATATGCTTTCCAGTCCTAAGTGAACTGTTGTTTTAAAACGAGTCACCTGATAATTCTTTTTATTTTCTGTTTTTCTCTGTGGACAACCTGTAATTATTTCTTGATTTAAACTTCAATTTAACTTTTAGAGAATATTTGTACTTCTGATAACTGCGTCTGTAAGAAATTATATTTTACACGTTTTTATCATTACAATAGATTGGCATTATTTAGTAGTAAATGGGGAAAGTACAATTCTTTTACTTTGTTATTTTATACTATCTCTGATTTCAAAAAGAAATATTTATACAAATATGTATCTACAAGGTGTCTGCAAAGTGCATTTTACATAATAAATAAGCAGAAAACACGCACACATTTTAATAAAAACCCCACACATTCCCAATTGGTTATTATAAAGTTTAGATTAATTGTGTAATGGATTGCAACCTCTTTAGGAAAGTGTAGAAATTCTCATTAAGATTGGTAGCTTATTTCACAGAAACACAATCACACTAAAACTGTATATTATATGGTAATTACTTGCTCTAATAAGTATGAGATCATAGAGAATGCACTCCAAATATATCTACAATACTAAAACTGGCTACACACAGATATGAAAAGCTATTGCTTAACATATAAAATATAACTTTATTACCTGATTTATTGGTACAGTTATACATAATAGCTATTTTCCTAATGATCACATCTACCGTTGATGTCCTGTATCAGAGCCCTAACTGTCTCATTTTGACCAGGAAAGTCTGGACATTGGAACCGGCTTCCTATTAAATATCTTGACCTCTACCCACTTTTGAACAAGAGGGGAGGTTCGGGGATTTGAGGCCAGAGTCTCTTTGTAATTTGAGTGATGTGTTGGGATATTATCAAACTGGGTCCTTCTTTCTACAGGACAATTAAAAGGTGTAGAAATGGACAAACAGCTACTATAAAACAAATGTGAACAGTAAAGGTCCATAAAAAAATAAATACCATATTTTTATAGATACTTCATTGGCCTAGCATTCATTTATTTAATTCATCTTTCATTTTTTTTGTGACTAAATAGGTTAAAACAGTCCACTATAGCAATTTTAAGCTGCTGTGCCCTCATGTTAACTTTAAAGGAATTAAAAACAGCACAGTCTATAAAATGAGAATATCCAGGAAAAACAAGAGAGATGTATCTGTAAATTTTAAATTAGCTGTCTCCTTCCACCTTTATCGCAGTTCTACACATTGAAGACAGTTGGAGGCAGCCATTACTTTATCCTTATCGGTAATATTCTGGTCACTGATCACAAGCTGGATTCCAGCTGAATTCTGATTGGCTGAAAGGGCCAGGCAACCATTGAAATGCATCTTTCATTACCTTTATTCCCAAGGAACACATTTTTCAACAAGTTGGCTTTCTCCTGTAAATGTTGGCCTTCTTTTCAAAATGACACAGTCTATGAGTATTGTTTTCCTTAATTATAGAAAATCAATACAAATTAAATCAATAGAATAAAATAACAAGTTGAGGAAAAAAAGCTGCCCTTCTCCTCTGAAAGTTGACCATCTTCTTTGAAAGTTAATCTTCTCCTCTGAAAGTTGACCATGTTCTTCAGAAGCTAACTTTCTCCTTTGTTACTTCTCCTTTACTCTTTTTGGGTCATGACAACTACAATTCACATTGTGATCTTATGATGTCAGTATGGTGCCCTGATACTGTGCTATCACTGTGCAATACATTTTTATTGAGGGCATTTATCTGGGCCTGATAAATGTGATGTGTTCGTCTCAATTAGAGACACAACCGAATGACGTGAGGTCTTTAGACACAGGCAATAAGAATCAGAGTGGGTGCAGTTGGATAGGATGTATAGAGTAGATATTCTACTTGTACTGACTTACCAATAACTTACCCATTGTCAGAAAACCAAACTGGTGCACTTGTTTATGGACTTAATTATCCATTGTCTCTGTAAATGCCAAGACGGACAGAAATGACGATCACCCAGAATGAAATAATAAAACTATTAAACACCTACAGAAACTCAAAATTAGAAATGAAACCTAAAAAGATTGAGCCATCACGAAGGTGTTACTAAAATAATTAGTTTTTTTGGATTGTCAGCTCATCTGGTTTACCACTCTAGTTCTGGGCTGGATAATGACAACAATAAAGCTGCCAAAGATAGAGTTACAAATCTTGGTATGTGCAATGCTGCATGTAACAGAGCTTCCTGTAGTCGCCATCCTCTACCCACACTGGACCCAAGACCAGGATCCAGCTTGCAGTGGGTGAACCTCTCCTCCAAGAGAGTGTAGCAGGACCAGCTCTTAAAAGAGCTTAGTGATTATAATTCCAGGGGAGTATAGTGATATAGCAATCCCCAGGGTAGATGCAGCCTTTTCCCCCACACATGAGATGAGGCTCTATGTTGAGGGTAAAACAGGAAGGCATACTGGCCTTTTATGCAGGTTTCACAACAAAGGTGGACATTGTTGGGCACAGGGACACAAAATGTACAAGCCAATAAAAACAATGTGACAATGAACGACACTCCCACATACAGTACACAAGCCCTCCCTCTGCCTGTGATATAGTTACATAGTTACATAGCTGAAAAGAGACTTGCGTCCATCCAGTTCAGCCTTGCTCACATTTGTTTTTTTGCTGTTGATCCAAAAGAAGGCAAAAAAAAACAAAACAGTTTGAAGCACAATTTTGCAACAAGCTAGGAAAAAAATTCCTTCTTGACCCCAGAATGGCAGTCAGATTTATTCTTGGATCAAGCAGTTATTGCCCTACATTGAAAGATTATATCCTTGAATATTCTGTTTTTGCAAGTATGCATCTAGTAGCTGTTTGAACATCTGTATGGACTCTGATAAAACCACTTCTTTAGGCAGAGAATTCCACATCCGTATTGTTCTTACAGTAAAAAAACCTTTCCTTTGCCTTAGATGAAATCTTTTTTCTTCCAGTCTAAACGCATGGCCTCGTGTCCTATGTAAAGTCCGGTTTGAGAATAGATTTCCACACAATGGTTTGCATTGGCCCCGAATATATTTGTATAATGTTATCATATCCCCTCTCAGGCAACGTTTTTCTAAACTAAATAGGTTTAAATTTGTTAACCTTTCTTCATAGCCGATATGTTCCATTCCTTTTATTAATTTTGTAGCCCGCCTCTGCACTTTTTTTAGTGCCATAATATCCTTCTTTAGAACAGGTGCCCAAAATTGCACAGCATATTCAATATGGGGTCTTACCAGTGATTTATAAAGAGGCAAAATGATATTCTTGTCCCGAGAATGAATGCCCTTTTTCATGCATGACAATACCTTACTGGCCTTGGCCACTGCTGATTGACATTGCACATTGTTGCATAGTTTATTGTCTATAACAATTCCCAAGTCCTTTTCGTGTGTTGTTATCCCTAATTCGCTTCCATTAAGGGTATACGTTGCTTGTGTATTCTTTACGCCGATGTGCATAACTTTGCATTTTTCAACATTAAATTTCATCTGCCATTTGAGTGTCCAGTCCCCCAGTCTATCTAAATCCCTCTGCAGCAAAGTAATATCTTGCTCACATTGTATTATTTTACAAAGTTTGGTGTCATCTGCAAACATGACTTTCAATGCGGTCTTCAAGATCATTTATAAAACATGTTAAATAGAAGGGGTCCCAGAACAGACCCCTGAGGGACACCACTTGCCACCTCTGTCCAGCTTGAAAATTTACCATTAATGACAACTCTTTGTACTCTGTTTTAAGCCAATGTTCTACCCAAGAACAAGCATTTTCATCTAGACCGATTTCCTTGAGTTTGAACACTAATCTATTGTGTGGAACTGTATCAAATGCCTTGGCAAAATCCAAATAGATCACATCCACTGAAACACCCTGATCTATACTTCTACTTAATTCTTTGTAGAACGCAATCAAGTTAGCTTGACATGACCTGTGCTTCATAAAACCGTGCTGATTTTTGCTGATAACCATGTTCTTCTCAAGGAATTCTTGAATATTATCCCTTAATAACCTTTCAAATATTTAACCAGCCACAGAAGGTAAGCTCACAGGTCTATAATTTCCAGGCAAGGAAAGCAAGGATATAATTAAGGCATATAATGTATTCACATAATTATCCCCAGGCAGAAAAAAAACACATTTATACAAAGTCCAATAAGTACCCCATATCCCCATAAAAGTCACATCCCCTGATAGCCCTGATCTGGATGAACAACATATACAAAAATCACCCCAGCAGGGGTTTAGGAAATTCCTGGAAGTCTCTTTTTGACCGACTGCACGCATGGTTTCATGCTCAAAACAGTTCCAGAGAGTGGCCGGTCTATTTTAAACAGTCGAAATACCGTTTGAATTACCGAATGGTGAATGACCATAGTCAATGTGTGTCCCTTGTTCGTGGGCTTCGACTCATGAACACTGTTCGACATCCCGTTCAAATTTTCAAAGTTCCCTGGAAGGTAACTTTTCAGCGGTGTTCGTGCCGTCGCGTGTCCGATTTGAGTTCCATGAACTCGATGACAAAATACAGCTGAACACTTTCAACCAAATAAGATGGCTGCCGCCACCTGTTTGAATGTCGAATGGCGGCCACTTCGACACTTCGACTGTAGCCAAAGTGCCACATTGAAAGTTTGAATCTGTTCCAGTTAGAAGTCCAAGAGGCAGAAACAGTATCTTTAACCCCCAGTTCATCATAGGGCCATAGTCACAGGGCAGGAGACTGACAAGCAGGCCCCTCCAAAAACCAGTGGCAAGGTCACTTTCGCCACATTGCATAACAAAATTCCGTGCTTACAGACGCCAGGCACCATCACCACTTCAAATTACTGATGTGGTTATGGTGCTTGGGGTGAACCTTTAATTATCAAATGTGAGTGACTGACATTAATATCTGATCCAATTGAAAATGATCAATTCTAGGAATATTTTACTCTACGTGGGGATCAGGA